GATGGGTTCTCTGGGTAATATGCGGCCGTTGTATGCAAGAATGTCCAAGTCGCTCGGCCGAGGTCTTCAACGTCTGGGGGACAGTCGGCTGACCGCGTTGCCGGTGCACTTGCTGCGATGGTACCGCCAATTGCTGCAACTGACGCTGCAGCTGTCGAAGAGTACGACGATCCAGATGAAGGTGCGGGCAGTCCAGAAGAGCCTGGGGACGAGGGGCCTTTCTTGGTTTGAGCTCGCGCCGCCGCCTTGAACGAGCTGACGTTGCAGATTTTGCATGGTTTGCCGTCGGGTCCAAGGACGGTGCCTGGTGGAAGCTTTGGCACGGACGCTGCAGGAGCTCCTTCGGTTGCGGCAGGCATTTTTAATCAGAGTTGTAATACTTGGGTTTGAGGATTTCACCGTCAAGGGGTTCTACTCAATAACAGTGCACTTTTGGATTAAGCCGTGAGAAACGGAGAGTTTGGGGCCGCCGGCTTATCAAGCCGATCCCGGTAACTTACCGGGTTTCGTAACTCCTTGTCTTGCTTGGGGCCAAGCATTGAGTGACATCACCCAGACCAGTTGCCAGGGGGGAATCGCTGCGCATTCAGTGAGTGTGCTCGTCTATCATCGTTCGTTCACCCGCTAGCTGAGGATGAAGCTCATCAGTCTTGCGCTCGTATTCAGCTTAATATCCATGGTTGCTGCACAGTCCGCTAAAGTCCTTATCTTCTCGGCCACGAACGGATATCGCCATGGTAGGATAAAGAAATGATCCCGCCTTCAAAAGCTGATTTCCGCATTTGATTACGCCTCCACTCTATTCTGGCCCAAAGACTCCATTCCTGATGCCATCAACGCCCTCACAACTGCTGGACCCTCTCATAATATAGAATTCGATCCAACGGAAGACTCGAATGCGTTCACTGATGCTAATCTCGCCAACTATGATGCGATCCTCTTTTTGATGGTCACTGATGTATCCCCAAACGACATCATCAACCAGGAGCAGCAAGCAGCCTTCCAGAATTACTTGAACAGCGGAGGAAACTTTGTGGGCATACATTCGGCATCAGACTGTTTGCACAATGCCACGTTTTATCAGAGGGAGATTGGAGCGTATTTCTGGGACCATCCGACCCTCGGCGAAGCGGCAAGTTGCCCCGTCTGACAGGTCAAGTGGACGACACTAACATCAGGTAGCGCGCTCGCAGACCTTTTTGAATATCATAGAACCGACCCACCCCACTGTGAGCATGATTCCTGAGCGATGGACGTATACAGAAGAAGTGTAAGTATGCAGTGTCTAGGGGCTTTAGGTCACGGAGACCTAGCAACGGTGATTCCACAGGTACAATTTCAAGCAAGACCCTCGTTCAGTTGGAGCCAAGGTTGTCCTGACTGTGGACCCAAGCTCTGCTGGTGAGCTATACACCGTCGTTGTGGTCGCTAGTCTTGACGTGTTGTGATTCCTCTGATCCCTCAAGGTACCAATGCGAACGCCTCTATTCAAGGAGACCCCCATCCGATCGGTATGTCGACTCGATCTCAAGCTATTGAATGGAGGTGAATGTGAGATCCCCTGCAGCATGGTACCAAGAGCGTGGAGCCGGCGTCTCTGAGGGAGCGCCTAGCGTAGGACGGTCGTTTTACACTTCACTTGGTCATCTTTCATCGACTTGGGCGGTAAGTCGCCCCGACTACTGTGATGCTGTTACCAAACCTGGCAGTACTGAAATTGCACCGACGTGACACAGGATGAGACTTTTATGGCCCATATAATGGCGGGGATCACTTGGTCATTGGGTTCGAATACCACCAGAGCGTTCAACCCGTCGGCAACTGTAGGTAACACAGCACCAAACGAGCCTGCAACGACAGGGTGGGCTACCGATTCTTCTTGTCTTTTGTCTTCTCCCACTTATTAAAACGCCGCAGGGGTTCGATCCAAGCCAGTGCAAACTCGGCAGAAGGAGGAGAAGGGTTGGGGATCAAGGCAGCTCTTGTAGGAGCTGCGGCCGCAGCCGCGGCAGTAGCTGCTCCGTTAGCTTTTTCTAGTATCTAACTTTATATGCTGCAACTAGGATGGGCTTACTTTGAAGACTGCAGTGCATTATATTGTTTTGACTAGTGCGTGTCAGTAACTCGGTTCATTAGTGTAGCGGTTATCACTTCGGATTCTGATACGGCAGCAATGCCTCCAGATCTTCCGACAACCCCGGTTCGAATCCGGGATGGACCTTAACTTTTCTTTTTTTAGGCTCGAATCTGGCCGAAAGAAACTGACCGTTTTTTGCTTGCTTGGGAAACGATCCAAGCATCCCAGCGTTGCGACCATTCTGGTTTGTGGGCATCCGAACACCATTGGCACAAACAAACCAAAACCAACAGTCCTGTTCATCTCGCAGCTTGCTACGACAATACATAGCAATTCTAAGTCGCCTCCCAGCCCGACGTGAAGGAAACAATTCCGGCCAACCACCCAAACAAGTCCACTAGGTGCTATCATTAGACCGTGCGTCAGTTAGGTTGTTAGGTAGACATGTGTGACCAGGCTGGCCCACCTCGTTTCGGAAATAGCCCTTCTCCAGCGACCTGAAGTCACGAAATTTAATGCAATTAGTGGGAAATTCATGCGCTCAAAGGTGTGTCAAGTTAGTGCCGTACCAGTGCAGGCATTGGGGTAAGTTCACCAAGTTAACGAATAGATCAAGCTTCAATGCTCTCCGCTTCTTCTGAAGAGCTTTGTATTCCGCGCGTGTTGCTGCATGATCAGCGGGCACCAAATCGCCTGCCTCAACCTTCTTTTCGGCCACCGCGTTCGCGGCCAGTTCGGTTTCGCGTTCGTCGAGAAGTTTGAAATCCTCGCGGAGGTGAAGGAAGTGGAGAATGACGTATACCGCCCAAGCACGGCATGACCAAACGGCGAGGGTCGAGAGTTTCTTGACTGGAAACTTGTATATTTTATGGGATCCAAAATAGTAGAGGTGTTCGAGAGGGTAGTAAGCAAGCATGGCAAGCGCTTG